GTCTATTATTAAAGTTGTTCATCTTCCCTCAAGTGTTGCTGGAGTTCCTGCTTTGTGTAATCTGCAGATTCTGACAGAAATCTGCAACTATCCTTTGAAGCACCGCTCCTCTCTAAAACAGCAATAAACAGCATTAAGGATCATTTTTAGGCCATATGTAAATAACTTTATAACTTAAAGCAAAATTGAGAAACGTAAAGTCCGACACAAGTATTTATATTAAGGCCCATCAGTCAAACAATATTGTTTGCTCTGGGTCTGAACAGAGCACGTTGTGTGTGACGTCTTCTTTTGCGCATGCGGGCCGCTTTGAGGGTTCACACTAGAGCGCGTTTGCTGTCACATTTTATTTGTAGTGTGAACAAGCAGACAAAAAAATCGGATTGGATCAAAAAATCAGAATTGAGCATTAAGACCTGCAGTGTGAACGTAGCCTAATTGACTTGTTATGCCAAACCAGCCAAATAGATTTGGTTCAAACTCTAAACTCGTTCTGCACTGATTCTGATTTTTTCTCTTTATTCTGCAGGGCGACCAAGGACCTCCTGGCCCTCAAGGTGATCCGGGTTTAACGGGACCTCCTGTAAGTATCTCCGGTCCACAGAACCAAATTTACCTCCACACATTAAAAGTCCCTCCAGAAAACAGACAAAACATTTAAGTTGCAAGTTGGAAGAAGTGGAGTATCTAATGTTCTTGATGGTGACTGTGGTGTATATATGTCTCTTTATCTCACTGTAGGGTCCCTATGGTGGGCAGAAAGGAGAAAAGGGAGAACCAGGAGAGCCGGGAAAACGAGTAAGTACAGCTCTGGAATGTCAAGCAAATCCTTTCACTAAACTTACGTAATCGCCCCTATGTTGCTAAAATATGTCTGTTGCTCAAAGGTAAACTCAATTCTAAAGCCCTCAACATGTGTACAAGTGCAAGAGTGTCTGGAACCTCATCTCTGACATTTGGTTTAGGCAAAGAGGAAAGGTGTTGCCCAACTTTCTCAAACAATCTGACTATTTTACAGGGTTTCTCTCAGCTTTTTTGTGTGTATACATGCAAGTGAAACTTTCTGCAAAGAGGGAACTCTCAAACATATTTGCCAATATTTCAGTTTGTACATGTCATTCCTTCAAGACTGCTAAGACACAGCAGAGCTTGAATTCCTGGGTTGAAGCAGTAAGAAGAGACCAAAGGGGATCTATGACGCAGGGTTCATTTGACTGTTACCAGATTGTATGTTCAGTATGTATTTGTAGAACATGTTCTCCAAGCCTTTTAAAGACATACTGAAACCTTATCAACAAGCCCAAAACTCCGGGTAAACCTTCAAACAGCTCTTCATAGATGTGAATACAGGGTAGTTATGAACGCATACACATTATTCTACTGTGCACACAGTCATGAAGTCCGGTGTAACGTTTTGAAATGATGAACAAGACCTTGCAGACACCTATTGACTCCAGTTGCATGTGTTGGGATGTCAACCTGACCACAGGCCTAACTCAATTAAGTGAATGAGTTAAATATTTATATTTAACAGAGGTATGAATGTAATTTTTATTATTGTAAAACTGGACATTTTAAAAAGAGAGTCAATCTCAGAATTGTTGACTCCCTTTGGGAGTCAGCCTCTAGTGGCCACTGGAGGATGTGCAGTTTTTGCCAATTTTGTAATGCTTCAATATTCAACTCTGGAGATGTCCCCGTTGGTGCAAAGCCTGATCACCATGTTTTTCCCCCCTTTTGCAGGGAAAACCTGGCAAAGATGGTGATCCTGGTTCTCCAGGATACCCAGTGAGTTCTGCCAACAAACTGCACAATTTATAATCCTTTTCTAAAATGTCTTATAACCTTTTCCTAACATTCTTGTATTGCTTTTTGTCACATTCAGGGGCCCTCTGGAGAGACAGGCCAGCCTGGTCTTCCAGGGAGGGATGGTGAGACAGTAAGTTTCTTCTGAATATTTTGAATTCTACGAGTCAAACAGTAATGCCATGAACTGTGTAAATATCACTCTTTCTCATTTCAGGGACAAAAAGGTGATCGTGGATTCCCGGGTCCACCAGGGCAGGTGAATGAGAATTTATATTTCATTATTTGTGGAATATTTGTCTTACACTTGAACTCTTAGCACCATTTCATTGTCTACTTATAAATACAATACTGTGCACATATCCCAAGCCATCCTTCATTTCTTTGTAGTCTGCTTCAAAAATATAAAGAAATTAACCATTTTTCCTTGGACATTGGAGGCTTATTCACTTATTTGTAGTTCATTTTGAAAAGTGCCGCCAGACTTTGATCCACTGATTCATTATTGGTGAGCCCAAGCACACTGTCAGTGCAGTAAAAGCATAGCTGTCAGAGTCTGCTGTGTGGCAGGCAAGATAAGGACCCAAACGCATGATCACAGGACACAGGAGTGGAATGTAAAATACGATGGACGATATGAGGAAAAATCTAATATCACAATATTTTTTGGCTATATCGCTATACATGATATGTCTTGAGCCCCAACACTCCCAGTATTGGGGGCAAAAGGGATGAGACCTCTGAATTTCACCTGAAGTTCATATAAACCATCTCTACAACCACTAAACACAATGAAATCGACAAAACAATTAAAAGAGCAGATACATAATTTTGCAAAATGTGCCTAAACACAAACAAAAATCCATGAGGTCACTCAGCTTCATGTAACCAAACCACGACCAAAATTCACTGAACCAGCCGCAAAAGAAGACCGAAAATGTGCTTCACGCTCGATAAACAATAACATGGAATTTTTCTCTGTTCCTCTTGCTGATAGCTGGTAGCTCATTTCACTGGTTTATTTGAAGTTTTCTTTGGTGTGTTAGGAGACATTTGCATATAGATTGCATATGGAGTTTAAGACTTTTCAGCTGGTGGAATAAATTCGTAGTACTGCCACCTTTTGGGCAATGGTCTGACGAGTCTGAATCTCCGGGGTTAGTGATGCATTTGTGGCGTGTGGGAGAAAGAAAACTCACAGTGAATTACATGCAGACAGCTTAATATTTCCATGGCAACCTATACTTGATGGTTACTATACAGTAAGGCTGGGTTTTGATTATCGATTTTCCAAGTAAAATCGATTTTAGGTTGATGCCGATTAATTAAATCCTGAATTGATTTTTAAATATAAATGTATTTTGCCAGAAACTTCAGAATCTCAGGTTAAAGCTTTCATTTCAACAACCACCAAACAGCTAAAACAGCAGGTAAACGGATCCCACAAAGACGTAAACACAAAGCGCGGACCCGACGCATCAGAATCAGTGAGATGTTGCCTTTCTCACCCAATGACACGCCGTCGGAGCTAAAAGCCGACATCTCACAGATTCTGATGCTGTAGGTTTTGTCACTCTCCAACCCAAATTAACTGAGCCAGCAGCAAAAGAAGATCAAAAATAAGCTTCACATTTGATAAACATCATCATGAATTCCCTCTTACTTGTGCTTGTGCTTTCTTGTGTACATCAAGAATAGTTTCCCATCTCAAATCTCTATTTTCTGCATTATTTGCTTGCTTGTTATGCACCAGTCTACTGTTGTTTACAGTGCTTTCACCCACTGTTTTTTTTTTTTTAACTGGCAAAAAGAAACGCTAATTTCTACTGTTCAATACAGAAAACATTTAAACTGTGTGTGTGTGATACGAATTACCCTCTCCCAATGGAAAATGAACCATTAAGGATGACTATTCAGTGTACAAAGTCCCCTAGTCCTGCTAAACATGAGAAAACTGTAATTATGAGACTTTTTTTTTACATTTTTAAAAACACAGCTTAAGGAGGTAATATTTATCATAGTCTTTGATTTAGGTCCAATAGTCTGTTGTTGTATTTTATATTTATTCTGCTGTATATTTCTAAATATATTTTTTATTACAAAAAAACATTTAAAGATATTTGCAAAGTTTTGTATAGTTTAGTCCATGTGAGTCTTGTGAAATCACTTAATTCTTTTTAACATCCCATCAGGTGATTGGTGGGCCAATAGGGAATCAGGTGGGGCCTAAAGGTGAACCTGGCTTACCTGGAACACCTGGACTCAAAGGAGACAGAGGAGTACAAGGTGAGCTGAAAACACACAGGCACATAACAAGCATACTTATTATTTGCATTAGTTTTAAAGCTAGTTTATACCGGGTACCAATTTAAGTTCAAAAACAGACATTATAGATGAGATGGTGCAACCTAAATGCACTGGTGTAGGTCTAGAATAACAGATTAAAAATACAATAATACATTTATGGGAAAGGTTGGAATAAATTTAATAATTTAGGGTTACTGAAAAGGAAATAAAGGGATACAATTATTAATTATGTAAATTAGTTAATGGCTCTTCTTTGCTTTTGGCTTTTGGCTGAATAAGACCATTTTTCGAGATTTACTTTTTGATTATCTTTCGCAAAAAAACAAACCAAATAACACTGAAACTTCAACCTCCTTTCTCCAGGTTTGACAGGCCCTCCAGGAGAACCGGGATTCACAGGAACCGGTAGTGGGGGTTTTCCTGGACCTCAAGGTTTCCCAGGAGAGAGAGGTCAGAAGGGAGAGAGTGGCCCCCCAGGAAACTTTCTGCCAGGCCCCCCAGGTCGTGCAGGGTCTCCTGGATCCCCTGGTCCGCCAGGGCCCCGTGGACTTCCAGGCACTTCCTCAGGTCAAGACTGCATACCAGGACTTCCTGGGATTCCTGGTGCACAAGGAGAAAGAGGTTTCCCTGGAGAGATAGGACAGAGAGGTGGGAAAATGTCTAAGATAGAATCAAAATAAATAACTCCTGTCAGATTGCTAAAATATCACCAAATCCCCCCAAAAAGTGCAGAAGACGGTCTCCCCCTGCAGCCTTTTGCAGAAAAAAGTGACATTAATGATCTGATTGTGTTTTAGGTGAGAAAGGTGACACCTGTGTGAACTGCATAGGAAGCGTCAATCCCATCCCTGGACCTCAAGGACCTCCAGGACCTCCTGGATTTCCTGGTAAAACCCCTCCCCCAAAGTTTTGTTTCCATCAGGTGATATTAACAAACTTTCCTGAATCCACAGTAGCAGATTAAAATTGCTTGGTGGTCCTTCAGTAATGACATTAAATGTGACAATAAAGACGCCAAAGTTTAGTAGACCTCAGGACAGATGTCTTTATGGTCCTTCTTTTTTTCCTCATCAGGACCTCCTGGCACCCAAGGTTTCAAGGGAGACACAGGTTTTCCAGGAACACCTGGCTCTGTCGGCCCCAGCGTGAGTATTCTTACTTTTCCTTTCTGAAAGTGGTGATGATCATTGTGGAACTGATATAATTAATGTGTTGCTCACGATTTTTTTTCATCAGAAAAATACAAATTGATTCTGTTCATCTGGACGTAGAGTTTTAAGTTTTTCCGACTGCAAAGGCTATGTCAGGGTGAACTGAATCAATTTTGGGGGATTTCCTTACCTGGATGATTGAGCATCAAGACATCTTACTTGTTTCCTTTCCAGGGTCCTCCTGGTGCTCAAGGTCCTCCCGGCCAAAATGGAGAGAAGGGAGATCCAGGGGATCCCATCAGAGTTAATGGTTTGAGGGGAGAGAAGGGTGACACTGGCTTCCCTGGACCACCTGGTCTGCCCGGTCTGGACGGGGCGCCTGGTCGTGACGGAGCCCCTGGGCCTCCTGGGCCTAAAGGAGCTCCTGTGAGTGACTTCCACTCAGTCTGTTTATTATTTATCTGAATTAACCCAAACCCCTCTAACCCCAACTAATGTATTTGCAACTGTGACAGGGCTCATTGTTGGTGAAAGGAGAAAGAGGCCTCCCCGGTGAGCCAGGTTTCCCTGGTAATCCAGGAGACAGGGGTCCCCCAGGTCTTCCTGGCTTTGGAAATCCAGGACCTCGTGGAGAGAGAGGTATCCAGGGTGTCTCAGGAAGACCAGGACCTGTTGGTGCACCAGGTAAAAAAAAAAATATATAGATAGATAGATAGATATTCAATGAGAGCTACTGTGATGAAATACAAGTTAGTCATTCATAATAAAATAAACAAAATTACCTGATGTGTTGTGCTGTAGCATTTCCAGGGAGCGATTATTATAGGCCCTTGTGGGTCT